AAGCAGAGTGATAATGAACTATAAAAATGAGGCAACTTCTCCAAAACAGCAACATATGACACCCTAAGGAGTTTAAAAAATAGATTTAAGAATTGATTCAAGTTATTTTCACTACTTTTGTGGAATCTCTTTTTAAAAGCAAGAATCAAAACGTAGTAGGGTGATTATGATTTTACTTAATGGAATAACAGAAACTAAAAATCTGAAATAAGAACAGGATCAGACAAATACTACATTTCATTTCTTCATATGCTAAAATATATACTACTAGATTTCTCTGACATGAAATACACATTAGTTTTATTTACTTATATGTATTAGTGTGAAGTGTGCTAAAAAGTAGAATCGAAAATAAGATTAAAAGTTAGAATTATCTATAGAACATAAGCTCTGGGCCCCAATTTACCTACAAAAATGATGTCACATCCAAATTTTCAGACCTGCGGGTCTTAACCTTATATACTTTCTACTTAACTTGTTTAACAGTTTGATAATAAGCAGCATGTATTAAGTATCATAAATGTGTAAAGCATGTTCTGCAATGTCTGTCTTTGTGGAGGAGGGTTTTCAGGACAGTATATAAATAGCAGTTTGAAACTGTTTTGATGGTTTACTTAACAAGATGAGTTACATTTTTACACTTAGTTGGCCAGGTCCAGGATATTTAGCTCCTATTACTTTAGTAAATTCTGTACCGTCTCAGGTTCTATACTATGGCTGAAAACTCCTCATTTGTTACACAAGGGGATGCTGGCCAGTGAGCAACATGTGAGCCATTATTTTAGAAAATATGGGCAATTATATACTGGTAGGTTTAATTTACCTGATTATTTGGGCTTAAAAATTATATGGTCTACCCGCGTACCGCAAAAAAAAATTATATGGTCTAATATGTGCTTAGTCTCCTGGTGAATTCCAAAATTACTGCCCCTATATCCATTTCTGGAGGTGATCTACAGGAATACATATCCCAACCTTCAACCATGCTGTTCCTTACAGAAAAATTCCCCGAACTCAGTTAAAAAGTACTACCTTTCATTTAAAATCAAGAACCACTTATTGAATGCTAACTTCATGTCAAATATTGTATTAAGCACTGGAATAAAAAAAAAAAAAGAGATGAGCATGGTATGGTTTCCATGCCTCGACACACTGTTTTATGTTTGGCAGCATGCAGATACATTACCCTATTTCATCCTCACTGGAACTCCACAAGATAGATCTGATTTCTCCCATTTTACAGGTGATAAAACTGCAACAGAAATGTCACTTGCCCAGGATCACACTTTTAGTTGAGCCAAGACTATAACCCAGTTATTTTTGAACTCCTGGTTCTTTTCTCTATTATTCAATAGCATATGTTTTGCTCATGTTTTCCAGTCAAGATAGACCATGTAACTATTTTAATGTAGAAGTCCCTCTAGTCCAAAGTAAGAATTTCATTACCTTGCCTAAATTTCACTGACCATTTCAATACCATAGGAGCAGGAAATTATTCAGTTCATGAAAAAGAAAATTCATGCACCTGTGGATTTCATCTTTTGTGCCAGATGAATAGGTGAGGTTGGATTTGATTTGCTCCATGACTAAACTCTAAAATTGGGATTTAAAATGGATATGTAATCTCACTTTGATTCCATTTCTCCTGTAATGCTGCCTAATGGTTATGCAAGTCTCAGAAATGTATTTAAAGTAATAACATGTCCTTTTATCCAATAACATCAAACTGAGATCTTTTTTGTTCACTTTTGCTAGACCTCTAACCTTTAAAGGTGAGTCAGGCAGCTGCAGAAAATCTGATCTTATTTTCTGCCCCTGGCAAGACTTTTTCAAGTTCATCTTTTTTCCCTTCTCTCAAAATCTGATGAAAAATGAAATGTCAGGAAAACAAGCTTTCAGGCTAAAAAACTTGTGTCTGTCTCTGTGACAGATGTCAGTTTGAAAGGTTTCAGGTCACCTGTCAGAAGTGTGCCAGTGTGATCTGTATTCACATCGACTTGACCTCACACCAACACTGAGTTGTGCTTTTAAAAATATCCTTGAAAAAGAATTAAAAGATTTGAAGTCATTGCCTTTTCCTCTATCTGTTAAGTCCGATTAATGAGACAAAGGAAGGGGAGGCAGAGAGACAGAGAGAGAGAGAGAGAGAGAGTTTTAAAAGGACAGTTTGACCTCTGGTTGCCCCTGGCAGTGAACCAATCAGAATTCTTGTAATCCAAACACAGATGCCTGGAGCTAAACAAATCCTATACTTGTGAACAAGAATTCAGTTTGCTGTCAAAATATAGTGAAGTTCAGCATAGTGCTTCTTTCAACAAAATATCATGAATAAAAGTTTAAATGTTTGTGATTAATAGAGAAGAGTAATATTGAGCAACATAATAGCTCAGTGGTGGCTCAATTTAGTAAAAAATATCTCCATCAAAAAAATCATGTGTTTTGAAGTCCTGTATTCTAATTCCATATCCTGGTTGTAACTCCCTAATATTTTATTTCAGAAACTCCACTGATATTATAGTACAAGTCAGTAGTTTTGTAATGACTAATTAATGGGGTTGAACTCTGTTCTTTTTCTGGGTTAGTTACACAGTGTTTGAACTATTTATCACAGTGATTAAAAAATGTTAAAAAATGTTTCTTTTTCTAAGTTTTTCCCCATGTGCCTTTATCATAGCCTGGGAAACTTAAGGATTGAAAAAAAAAAAAAAAAGGTAGATTTTGTTTCACCAGTTTGGGAGGCTTCAGGGCTTTGCCTTGTAACCAAGAAGGTAAAAGATTATAGTTCCAAAAGCATGTTTGTCAAATCTACCACTGTAAACAAGAGACTGGATCAGAAGAGATGAGAAAGTCCATGTAATATGACCCCAGAAATTTTAATAGCACTATAGAGATATTAGCTTTTTTCCCCTTTGCTTGACTTAAGTATACAATACTTCCCTTCTTTCAAGTGGGCCCACTCCTGATGTGAAGTTGAAGATATGCTCACTGTATTTGCATTTGGAACAACATTATTTTTGTGTATGGAAAACTTGGGGGGAAAAAATGAAACGTAGACCTGGAACGCAAATTAGTTAGCTTGAAATAGAGGCGGAAAGCTGATTCTCAGCAATGATTTGTGTGGTATGTGTGACATTTTTTTCCCTTCCACAGCTATGTTTTAGACAAGTGCTTCTCAGGTTTGATGGGCCCTTGAATTTCCTAGATCTTGTTCACGGGAGATTCTGATTTGTAGGTCGGAGTGGGGCTTGACCATCTGCATTCCTAACATATTCCCAGGTGATGCAGATACTGCTGAGCCTGGTCTTCATACTGGCTGCAAGGTTTTAGGCTCTTCTCAGCTCTCCACAAGAGTGTGTGTCAAATACATCAAGGTTCCCAAGTTTAGGCGGCTTATCTTATTAAAAAAAAACAACCACCAAAAAACCCTTCTGACATTTTTTTCCTGTGTTGATGATCTTTTTTATGTTTCTGTGACTTGATCTCTTTTTAGGAATTTCAAATTTCAATATAACAGTAGCTACATCATCTCAGAATGACCCTACTGTATTACCAAAATAAAGCACAAAGATGGTAACAATGTCAGGTTTTCCCAAACCTGCTCTTAAATCGTTAGTTTTTCTCTAGGTCATGGTCTTGTTGAGAGCATTTTGCAACCTACTAGGTAATTTCATTAATACTGACATCTCTTCCTTGCCATCTAACAGACTGTTTGTAATCAAAAGGTTGGAGGTCTCTGTAAGAAGCACGTGGACTAAGAAGCGCCCCGAGAAAAAACAGTTAAAAACAAGAGTAGTCAGAATTATCAGCAGTGTTTAGACCCAGATAACCACAAACATCCTGGAATTTACTTGCCAGTGAGTCATGTTTACATCTCTAGATGTTAGTTTACTTTCCCTTCATTTTTTTTTTTTCTTGATCACTCATGCAGTGGAAAACGGAAACGAAAACTTCCACGGAAGATGACTTGCCAATCCTTGTGCTTATGGGTTCCCACTACTGATGGGAAGGGATCTGGCTATTAGACAAAGCTGTCCCGATTTTCTCGTGCTCATTATATATTTATAATATGGACAGTCTTGTGACGTTATGCAGCTGCTTAAGCAGGAAACTAATATCAAATAAGAGAGTGCCAGATTTAGCTTTACCAAGATAAAATGCACCATATTTAATGCTCAATTTTCGTTCTATGTGTGTTAGATAAACACGTGATTGCTGAGATTTTCATACCAGTGTATTCAGAACTGTGTATTCCACTACAAGTTATTTTTATCCTTTGTAAAGATTCTTACTCTCTTGCTGTCAAATGCTAAGATCATTTAAACAAGTGAAAAATATTTGCTGTCTTTCTCGAAAGGCACAAAGTACTTTCTGTACACAGGATGTAGCTCATTGCTCCCTTATATTAGAAGCAAACGTGAAGTGGTTGCCTATCACATAGTAAGTCTTTAAGGACTACTGTATCATACGTTCATGAAAGCCTTTATTTCATGTTGTCAACTTCCTCTGGTGAGTCAGCCAGACAACTGTGAGTGCATGATTATAGATTGGAACCAGAAATACAGATCCATTATTGCTATCACATAGATAGCAATAACGTTAATGTTAATGTTATTGACATTACTCAATAACATTACTCTGATTAAACCTTCTCCTGTAAGAAAACGGTTTCAGCCTTTTTGATGAATATTGGTGGAGGAAAAAAATGGGGGATACAACAATTGTGAAAACAGATTTTTCTGCCTGAAATTAATAATTCTGAGCAGTACTAAAATTAATTACTCCGTGGTTATAAGTCGGCAGCGGATTTATGGTAAATGACAGAGTGTTTGCAAATCTTCCTGACTACTCGATTAGAAAATGCACAACTGGAGGCGTCACCCGAGCATGCATTATTTAAGTGGTTGGTGTCTGGCGACAATCTGGAAACTGCAATTGTTGTGATTGCCGTAGGAGAATTCACACTTTCTGAGAGAAATTCTTTCACCTTTGTGCGCCCACAGCATGGATCTCTCGTCGTGGCAGCTGTAGGAAACACAGGAACTCCGTGACCTGGAAAATGTGGGACAACTGCCACAAGGTGACCCTGGAAGGCTGGGGTAGGCCCAATTAATTTAAAATTTTGCTTGGCCTTGTCTCTTCCAATTTTCTAAATCCTCTGGAAAAATGATTAATGCATACACTGCCAATGCGAAAATATTTTTGACCCTATTAAAGTCGACCAAGGGTAAACCAAGTGTAGGCTGGCATTGTATCAAACTAGCTTTATTAAATTTGATTGGAGGTTTGTATGAGGAAGGGACAGACAAGGACATTATTTTGCACAGCGGCTCTCTTTTAAATGAAAATATCAAGAGGAATACAAAGTAGCAATATGCCCTGGACAGGAATCCTTTTAAATATAGGAAAATACCATGAAGAACTTTGTTTAAAGGGTAAACCATATTTGCTAGAAAATTTTTCTGCTGTCTTGTTGCTGTGCTGGTCAGTTACCAATGATGGTGCTTTAATTTATGGAAGCCTTATATTTTTTTCATTTATAGATGAGCTAGTTCAACCTTGGTTTCTTTCTCTTATCTGTCATTGAATTCTACGAGTTAAAATTATCTGTCTGCATTTCGAACCTTAGCAGAATGTTTCCCCAATGAATCCATCCTATGCAATCATTTAATTAATTAATAAAGTTAAATTTTTTTCCTACTGGTTATGAATAAAAATGTTTTGAATAAAAATGGTACAAGTCAGGCACAATTTCAAGGGATAGACTTTCTGATAAGCATTTCTTCCTTCTCCAAGAAAGAGAAAACCCATTTAATTGTCATAAAATACCGTCAACATCCATATTTCATATGTAATGTTTCTCGTAGTTTTCTCAAATCTAGGAGATATTTAGCTACATTATCATAAAGCATATATTTTATCCGTTTGTCATATGCAAAGTACAGCAACTTTGTAGCGGGGTGGATATTAATAACGTTGATATAACTAGCAAATAGTAAATACTTGGTGAATGAGTGAATGGCAGAAATCACCTGTGACCATCTACCGAAGGGGAGACTAGAGTTACAGCTGGAATGACAGTTTAGGAGGTGGCACTAGGCCAGTGAATTTTTTAGGATAAAAAATATCCATGACTGGGGATATTAGCTTTACCTCTGATTTTTAAACTGAAAGATAGGAATGAACTATCTATAAGACTTGTAGATTCTATCACTCTTCACCCATGTTCCATGGCTTTCTCGTCAGTGTCTTCCTATATCTTTGCCCTGTTGAGTGCAGGCCTGGCCTTTTGGTGTGGTTTGGCCAAGGAAATATGAGCAGAAGTGAGGTGTCACTTCAAGCTGAAGCTTTAAGAGCCAGGGCATAGTTTGCTTATTCTCTTTCCCTCTGCATGACAGTCAGCAAAGTTCCAGATAAAGGGCAAAGTAGAGCCAAGCTACGGCTGACTTGTGATATACACAATACTGTGCATGAGAGACACACTTTTGTTACTGCTGGCCTTTGGTGTTTTGCAACTCTCTTTTACCCCTGTAAAACACAGCTTACCCTGACTGACAGAGATGTAAACTGTGTTCTTTCAGCATGACCTAAAGAATGTGACTGTGAGCTTTGGGATGAAATTAGCTGTCATCTTCCTGCTACCATATCTAGGACCCTCCTTGCTTCCACACCCATCTACTCCTTCTTGCCTCTTTAATGGATAGAGTGAACCTCCTCTGAACAATGGCCACAACCTCTACTTGTGCTCTGGATCCCATCTCCTCCCAAATGCTAATAGCCTTTTCTCTCTGACATTGCAGGAGAGAAGGGATAACTCAATCTTTCCCTGTCGAATGGATCATTCATATCTTCTGTGCTAAAAACAGTTCTTTCTTCACCCCATATCCCTTTCAGCTGGCCCCTTCCCATTTCTCTCTCCTTTTTCTCAACCAAACTTCTCAAACTACTTAACTGTGGGTTCTGTCTGCACTTCCTCACATTCAAATCTTTAAGCTACTCTGAGTTTTTTAATCGCACCACTGAAAACAAATTACTCTTGTCAAGGTTACCAAAAGCCTCCCTATTGTCCAATCCAGGGGACACTTTAATGTACTAATTTTGCTCTGCTTCTTAGCAGGATTTCACTAAGGTGACCATTCCCTCCCTCATGAAGGACTCTTCACTCGGTGTCCAGGACATTCTCCTGGCTTCATTCTTACCTTTGTGGTCGAATCTTTTTCCTTTACTCACCTGTAAAATTTGTAAAAAGTGGTACTCCGTATGGGTCAGTATTGAGTCCTTTTTCTTACTATCTGCAGATTATCTCCACGTATTGAATTTGGTCTCACGACAACTGTGGTTTCTAGAGTTGCCATTCTGAAGTTCCCACTTAGAAATACTCATAAAAACCCCATTTATGTAAATATATACTTTCTTATTTCCCACTTCAAAACATTTTTCATGAAATTTTAGGCAGCATTCATAATGTTATTTTAATTCCCTCATTTTATTCTTTAAAAAAACTATCGATCATCCGCAGTGTGCCAGGCACTATAATAAATGTTAGCAATATAAAAATGAATCAGATATAATTCTTGCTCTCAAAAAAGTGCTTAGTGGGGAGGAATATACGCACACGATTATGGTAAAATGAGTAAAATGAGAACATTTCTAATAATGTACCTTCTATAACACATGGTGGGAACATAAAGGAAAGAGAATCTAGGTTTTCTGGGGCAGTAAGAGAAAGATTCCCAGAGGAAGTTATATTTGGGCTAAAACGTAGTCAAACAGAAATTTATAGAAGCAGGGAAGAGGAAACATTATTCCTAAAGGCAAGGAGATGTGAGAAGGCCTGTCATGTTTAGGGAATTTAAAATAGTTCAATAGTTTTACAAAGAATAGGTGAGGTGGGAGAAGACTAAGAGGTGAATTTGGATTTAGGGACAGGGCTGAGGGCATGAGGGCATTTTATGGAATCATATTTTCTTGACTTTGGGCTGACATTTCTGAGCTCTTTCCAATGTTTCTGTTTAATCCGTCCCAATCCTATACGCATGGACCCTATTATATCAATACTAAGGGGAGGAACAACATAAACAATACTAAAAGTTTTGAGACAGGAAGCATTGTATGCTGTTACATTTCTAGTCTTCGTATTCTTCTATTGTATCTGTTTTCATTCTGGTCTTCTGTTTTCTGACTACTTCATTTGGTTTTGAGTAGCAGTTTTCTGGAAAGATAGAGGCTGAAAGTTTTTTTTTTAATTTATTTATTTTTAATTTATTTATTTTTGGCTGCATTGGGTCTTCATTGCTGTGCGCAGGCTTTCTCTAGTTGTGGAGAGCGGGGGCTACTCTTCATTACGGTGTGCGGGCTTCTCATTGCGGTGGCTTTTCTTTTTGGGGAGTGCAGGCTCAGTAGTTGTGGTGCACGGGCTTTGTTGCTCTGCGGCATGTGGGATACTCCTGGACCAGGGATCGAACGCATGTCCCCTGCATTGGCAGGCGGATTCCCAACCACTGTGCCGCCAGGGAAGCCCAGGCTGAAAATTTTAATGTGTTGATAAGTACTATTACTATTTATATAATCTAATTCCAGTCCTTTACCTTTCATACTATAGGGAAACAATACTTCTGAATATTGAATGGCTGTTTGAAGACTAAACTTTCTCTAGTTCAATATGGATAAAATCAGTTATAAAATGTTTGAGAGTTCAGTACTAGAAGAAATTTGTATAGAGTGAGTTACTGTAATACATAGTTTTATCTAACAGAACCCATTGAAAGTGCATGCATCTGGGTGACTTGGCACTGTTTTAGTAATGGCAAACATGACAATTTCTATAATTTTATTATATTTACATTCTAAGCCTAAATTTATTGATATTTCTTATTATGCTCATGATGGATAACATCTTTAAAAAATTAAAAATGGCTAACCCAGTATATATACATGGATTCTTAAATATTCCACACCCACCAGAGCAATGCAGCAAGAACTTTTGAAACTAATTCAGGGAAGGCGATTTTGCTTCTAAATATTATAATATAAATAGTATTTAAAATATTTAAATTCCGTGATGCAAAATTCAGTTGAGTGGTGTAAAACATATTTTGACTTTGCTTTACCTTAAAAAAAACTCTTCTATTTTCATCACTTAATTTACGACAGGAATGACAAATTGATCATGAACAGGGCATTCTAGATGAGATTTTTAACTTCACAGATGAATATGTTGGGGTGAATCAAATAGTTGAACGGACAAACCTTCCCCATGGAGTGCTAGCAGGCACCATTGTCTTACTTGAATTATTTTATAGTTGCAACTGAATGGACTCTGATAACTTCTCCAGTAAATTAGTCATTCTAGTGAACTGCCTACAGCATTTTTGTGAAAGCAGTAGAACCAAGAACAAAGAGACATTAGTGTATGAATCAGATTCTGCCCTGTAACTTCACAACTAAGTTGAAAAAAAAATGGGATGATAGAAAGGAAAGTGCAAGCCTAATTTTCTGAAGATAGAGGCAGTTTGTAAAATGACTCTAAATATACAGTGATTTCTTATCTGCTGAGCTCTAGCCATTCAAACGCTCGTTATAATTTTCCATTAGCATTTGATAGACCATAGCTGGGTGGGTGGCCGCTGACATATAAGTTGGCTCCACTAAAGTAAAGATTCATTACTTATAGGGCACTTGAGCCACTGGGCACAGGGATAGTTTTTAAACACCAATCCTTCCCCACCCCTCCAACAACATGTGTCAAGACATGTGATGTCTCTCACACCAGGACACGTTCAGGAATAAAAAAAGTCTATACTCCAAATTATATGAGGAGAGACTAAACAATTTATAAGATGATTTAAATAAAAAGCTAAGTAATTATGGGCTTCTTTTTTCCCCATAGTGCTGATGTGTCCTCTCAGCGTTAGGTAAAGTGTTTAGGGATATTCATTAAGGATTCTAGGACACTGGAGTGCTACTGGGTTTGTTAATTTCTACCAGAAAGCCTCAGATGTGTTACTCTACTTGAGTGGGTAGTGGGGAAATCTGGTTCATTATTTCTGATAATGGAAAATGTACTTTTCTGCAATGGCAGCTACACAGCTCACAATTG